GATGAGAATCACTGATGCCTCCTGCACGCCCCCTACTGGGGATTGAGCCCGCAACCTGGGCATGTAACCTTGACTGGAATCAAGCCTGGGATCCTTCAGTCTGCAGGCTGACACCCTATCCATTGAGCAAAACCAGCTAGGGCGAGTGTGAATTCTTTACTATAGTACATTTTAAGGGTTTATTATGTGTAATTCCTGGATGTCCAAGGGTCATTTGAATCTTTTTCTTTTTTTAGTCCTCACCTAAGGATATGTTTATTGATTTTAGAGAGAGAGAGGAAGAGAAACATACATCAGTTACCTCCCATATGTCCCCTGACTGGGGATTGAACCTATAACCTAGATATGTGGTCAGTTGGTTGGAGTATCGTCCCATACACCAAAAGGTTGCAGGTTCATTCCCTGTCAGGGCATGTAGGGGAGGCAACTGATTATCTGTCTGTCTGTCTGTCTGTCTATCTATCTATCTATCTATCTATCTTCTCTCTCCCTCCCAACTTCCCTCCCTCTAAAAAAATAAATTATTATTTTTTCTTTTTTTTAAAAAAAATATATATTTTAATGATTTTTTCCAGAGAGGAAGGGAGAGAGATAGAGAGTTAGAAACATTGATGAGAGAGAAACATCGATCAGCTGCCTCCTGCACATCCCCTACTGGGGATGTGCCCGCAACCCAGGTACGTGCCCTTGACCGGAATCGAACCTGGGACCTTTCAGTCCACAGGCCGACGCTCTATCCACTGAGCCAAACCGGTTTTGGCAAATTTTTAATTAAATAAAATTTAAAATCAGTCCCTCAGCCACACTAGCTACATTTAAAATGCTTGATACTCACATGTGGCTATTGACTACCATATTGGATAGTTCGGACATAGTTTCATCATTGCAGAAAGCTCGGTTAGTGCTGAAAAGTGATGAGTGGAGGCAGTCATCTGTGTTTCGTGCTCCTTTGAGAGAAATCTCAGGATTTAGATGATCAACTTTGAGAGTGAGGGTAGGAAGACACCAGGCTTTGGGAGCCTGAGTAATGAGCATTTTGTATTTTTGAGGTTAGAACAGTGGTAAGGGGGAAGGATAACTGCAAGCTAAAATAAAATTTGGTGCTTTTTTCCCCCTTTCTGCCTGCCAGACGCATAGTCTGCACAAAAATCACTAAGACTGCCAGAAACCTGGAGAAATTATTGCTTTTATTCTTTTAGAAATGTAAATTAATCCCATTAAGGTTTTCCCCATTAGTTTAGTGAGTGGCTTCAGTTGGAGTCTGAAAGGTAAGGGGACTCTTGTTTGTTGTTCTTTCATTGTTGTTTTTCTTTGTTGTTTTATTTTGTTTTTAGATTTGGACCCTTAAGATTTGTGAATTCTGTTTATTTTTACCCTTTGGTTTCTGTAGCCCCCTATGGAGTACTATCAAAGCGAAACAAAGCTGGACACTTGTTAAAGACAGCAAGATGGATTTCATTCAGATTAGTGTAGTAGGGAAGAAAGACTCCATTATAAATTGAGCTCAACTTTGCTGAATCAAAAGGTGGGAGCCTTTTTAAACACTGGAGTGTGCTAGGTGTTAGGTAGGGAAGTTGGTCTTTGTGATGAAGGCATCTGTTTTACTAATTGGTGCTTATCAAAGTTAGACTCCTACTCTCCCACAGAGACAGGGAGACAAGAGCCCTATCCTTCCTGGTGATTACATTTCAAGGGATTGTCCCGAAATCCTTGAGAAAGACATATCTGGGTTGCAGAAGGATTTCCTGTTAAGGATCAGAGAAAGGATTTATAACTGCAAGTTTTCTAAAGTAAATGGTCTAAGGAAAATCAGGTCAAGGGCCTATAGTCAGGTTTTGGCTAAAACAAACAGTAAATTCTTTTGCAGCATTGAACTTTCTTGGGCCTGCATTTTAAAGGGCTGGTGGTCATCCTAGGGACATGACCTTGAGCTTATAGACATTGTGCTAGAATTTGGTCATGTCCTTATTGTGTGTGTTGGGGTAGGATGGATTCATTTGTGCTGAGAACTTGCATTTCTCAGTAGCTAGGTAAAATTTTATATTCAGAATTTCATGACTTGGGCATTTTGGGGTAATGATAGACTGGAATTTAATCCAATCCTGGGAAGGGGAAAAGGTCTTTAATGAAAGAGATAAGGCTTGAAAACCTATTTGAAGAAATAATGACAGAAAACTTCCCCCACCTGGTGAAAGAAATGGACTTACAGGTCCAAGAAGCGCGGAGAACCCCAAACAAAAGGAATCCAAAGAGGACCACACCAAGACACATCATCATTAAAATGCCAAGAGCAAAAGATAAAGAGAGAATCTTAAAAACAGCAAGAGAAAGAAACTCAGTTACCTACAAGGGAATACCCATACGACTGTCAGCTGATTTCTCAACAGAAACTTTGCAGGCCAGAAGGGAGTGGCAAGAAATATTCAAAGTGATGAATACCAAGAACCTACAACCAAGATTACTTTATCCAGCAAAGCTATCATTCAGAATTGAAGGTCAGATAAAGAGCTTCACAGATAAGGAAAAGCTAAAGGAGTTCATCACCACCAAACCAGGATTATATGAAATGCTGAAAGGTATCCTTGAGGAAGAGGAAGAGGAAGAAAAAGGTAAAGATACAAATTATGAACAACAAACATGCATCTATCAACAAGTGAATCTAAGAATCAAGTGAATAGATAATCTGATGAACAGAATGAACTGGTGATTATTTTAGAATCAGGGACATAGAAAGGGAATGGACTGACTATTCTTGGTGGGGAAAGGGGTGTGGGAGATGCGGGAAGAGACTGGACCAAAATCGTGCACCTATGGATGAGGACAGTGGGTGGGGAGTGAGGGCGGAGGGTGGGGCGGGAACTGGGAGGAGAGGAGTTATGGGGGGGAAAAAGAGGAACAAATGTAATAATCTGAACAATAAAGATTTAATTAAAAAAAAAATTGTAGTAGGCAGTTAGACAGACATGAGCAGAGTAGGGAAGATTGGCCAGGTGTAGAAGGACAGAAGGTCACCAGAGCGAAAAGCTGGGTGCCTAGCAACGGACAAATGACCTCACCCCCTGACCTTTCCTGTCACTGACCTTTCATATCACTATCACGCTGTAGACTCTTGTGAAGGCCAAACAAGGCGGCTAGAGATTAGCCCCGTATAAGTCCTTGCAGGCCTCTCCCTAAGCAGTAAGCCCCCAGGACAATGAGGTTCTGACCTGCATCAAATAATCTTAGGAGCAAAGCCTCGAGATAGCATTTTGGTCAAACTAGAGAGAGCATCACTGTGATTCACCTCCAGGCCCAGGAATGCCGCAAGGCCAGGCAGGGTGATGCATGGCTGACATCAGGACCAGCTAGGTGACTGGCGACCCTTCCCTAGTGCAAGCAAATCAGTAGAAACCGTGACCCTGAAAGGACAGACCTGGAAAACTGATGAATATTCTGTTGGAATCCCTCCCCGGGACCTCCCCTAAGATCCCCACCTTTAGAGAGCAGATAAAAACCCTCAAGACTGAGGATCCAGCTCTCTCTCTCTCTCTCCCTCTCTCTCTCTCTCTCCCTCCCTCTCTCCCTCCTTTTTCTCCTCCCTCTCCTCCCTCTCTCTCCTCCCTCTCTTTCCTCCATCTCTCTCCCCTCTCTCTCTCTTTTTCTCTCCTCCTCCTCCTCCTCCTCCTCCTCCCCCTCCCCCTCCCCCTCCTCCTCCTCCCCCTCCCCCCTCCTCCTCCTCTTCCTCCCCCTCCCCCTCCTCCTCCTCTTCCTCCCCCTCCCCCCTCCTCCCCCTCCCCCTCCTCCTCTTCCCCCTCCCTCTCCTCCCCCTCCTCCCCCCCCCCCTCCCCCCTCCCTCTCCCCCTCCCCCCCCTCCTCCCCCCTTCTCCTCCTCCTCCTCCTCTTCCTCCTCCTCCTCCTCCTCCCGCTCCTCCTCCCCCTCCTCCCCCCCCTCTCTTTCTCTCTTTCTCTCTTTCTCTCTTTCTCTCTTTCTCTCTTTCTCTGGAGCATGCCCATGCATTTTTCCTCTCCTTTCCCCAGGCATGTCCTCTCTGCCTTTCTTTTTCCTGAGCTTCAAGGGCCCTTCGTTTGCATCTGTAACTTGTTTCCTGAGCCCATGCAGCCCAGCTGGCTCACTTCTTCCATGGCTCACTTCTTCTACCTCCATGACTTTCTAAATAAACGTTTACTTGTAAAAAAAAAAAAAGGAAAAAAAAAAGAAAAAAGAAAGAGAATAAGGCATAGTTTGGGGACCTGATACAGACGGGAGCAGTCGGGGAAGGTGACTTTCAGGACCTGAGAAGCAACTTGGTTTTTTTGTGATTTTTAAGTCCAAGATGAATGGTATGGGCCAGGGTAGTCCAGAGGAAGGCGAGAGATCTTTGTTAATATCTGAGAAAGCTTCTTGAAAGAGGAATCTGTCCAAGAAAGCCTTGAGAGATAATGGGTGGGCTTTTCTTGATTTAGCATTTTATTGTATTTCCATGAAACCCCATTTAATTTTTCCAGAAATAAATTATGATCTCATGATTCATTTATTTACTTGAAATATCTTATTTTTCTTTAAAGACATTGCCCAAAGTTGGTATTTCTCTCCATTTTGGCTCTTGGTTGGTTTTCAAACAGCGCTCTTAAGAATAACAAATTCTAAAGAAGCCTCTGTGTTTTTGCACAGTCAATTCCTCTGTCCAAAATACCTTCCCATGCTCTCCACCATACACACCTTCAGGGAATTGTTTATCCTTCAAAACCCAGATGAAGTACCATGTCTTCTTTGCTCCCACACTACAGTACTCTTCATTTTTCCTCTTATATGATAGCTCTTATTCTGATGGTTGTACTTAGTTTGTACTCTTAACCCCCTAGTGCAGTCTCCGGCCCATAGAAGACACCTAATGTTCGGTTAGTAGGTGTGGTTAAATATAATAAGCTCTCAAATGTGTTTTCCAGTGTTAAGAACTCAGCTATCTTATGTGCATAGGTACAGTATATATTTTGTTAATTGAATTTTTATTTGTTCTTAGATGTCACTAAGAGGATCTGCGCCAGTGACAATTGTACCTCTTCCGGGAGAGCAAGTACAGGTTCAGGGGGTCATCCAGACAGCTCAGTCTTCTGTAATTCACCCACCACACGTGCAAACGGTACAGAAATTCAAAGACTTAGTGGTTGAGAGAGGGGACTTTTATACCCTGAGTCTTCAGACACATCGAAATTGTGTAGTTACTATATTATAAACCAAGATATAAAGTCAAGGAAATTAGACAAACAAATGAAGCAAATAGAAAAGTTTTAGAATTTATAGTTTCATATATATACTATCTGGTGAAAACAGAAGATAATTTTGGGGGAAATTATTGCTTAGAACTTAAGGAAATTAATTTCTTCAGGAAAAGCACCTTTTTTTTTAATTATCAGTAGTGGTATCTATCCTTTATAAAAATGAGAATTCTGAAGCAAGGTTGTTAATGTTAGCACTCATCTTATAAAGTAAGAAAGTACCTACCTTATGCTTTATGGAGGTCAGATAAAAGAAAGTTCTCTCTTAATAGAGGAAAGTTCTTATTTACATCTACCTTCATATTAACACCTGACAACAGTAGGAAGGAAAAAGCCATCCTGGGCTCCTATTCTTTCTATTCTTTCTCCCTATTTTATCTTATGGCTCCTGTGAATCCCATAATGCCTTTGGACATCTCTCATTTTTAGAAGCAGCTGTCCTATAAAAAATGCTCATTTTCCCTTCTGAATATATGGTGTCTGGCAATGTTGTCAGCTCTAGGAGCTGCATTTTTATGTGTTTTTTGTACATGAAAGGTGGCTGCTGATTGGATTTTTGAGTTTTTGTATGAAGGTTTTACTCTTATTTACTAGTGCTGTCATTAAAGAGAAATACTTAATCTTAGTCTTAGAAATTATTTTCTTACTTGAGTTCAGTGAGAGGCTTTGGAGTAAACTTAGGGACAGTGAAAACAGTTAAAGGTTTAGATTAAAAATGGTATATCCATGATGCTTAAGGAAACACAAAAGTGAGATTTGTCTTAATCTAATCATTACTTTGTTATTTGTTACTCTTATTAGTTCTTAATTATTATAAGTTGTGACCAGTTCTTTCTTTTCTATAAAAAAAAAATAAGAATTAATGTAAGATATAAATAAGTAGTTGTACACTAGAACTTGTATTTAATAACTATAAAATGTAAAACAAGCTTCTCTGGAAAGTTAAGATCTAAGTCTAAATAATTAGGGAAGACTTTCTGTAGATAGTAAATTTGTTATGTCCTTTCTAGAAGCCTGTTTGGATTATTTTATTTTTTTAAATGAAGGTGAAGTCAGATATAACGATGCAAATTTGGACAAGTGTTGGGAAATTTAATACATTTTAAAAATTGAAAATAACTTGTTTTCTTAATTGTAGATATTATTGTAAGTTAAAACTTGCATGTGATTATTGTGTTGACACAGTTTTAAAGGATTTGTTACTAATACTAGTTAACATTTAATGTGTGCTTGCTGTGTACCATGCACTAAGTGCTTTACATGTATTACTAACTCATTTAACTGTGAAGTGAGGTAAAGTTATTACAGATTTTTTAAAGTAGCACATGTTTATACCTGCCCTTGCCATTGACCTCCACCTTGCTAAATCTAATGGTCTGTTTTCAGTCCTTGTTTTACTCCACTTGTTAGGACCATTTGACATGGTTGATCATTGTTTCCTCCTCATTACACCGTTTTCTCCACTTTTCTAAGGACATCTCACTCACTGAGTATTCCTCCTACCTCACTGATGGCTTGTTCTGTTTCATTTGCTGGTTCCTTCCCTTCTTCCAGTTAGTATTCCTGGATTTTGTTCTTGGTCCTCTTCTCTATATTTTTCCATGATTGAGCTTTTATCCAGTTTTAATGGCTTTAAGGACTATCTAAAGAGCTGTGACTTCCAAATTTATACGTAGTCCAGACTTGTTCCCTTACTCAGGTTTGCACATTCAGCAATCTCCTCAATGTCATTACCTAATAGTGAGATATTAGTTGGATACTTAATAGTATTTCAAAATTAACATGTCCAAAATCCAAGTCAGATAGCATGTTTAATAAAACACCTCTGAGTAATGTGCAACAGTATAGAAATAGGGTGGAGATAAGAGATTGGTCTTTACAACTCTAGTAAAATAGCATTGCTTTATTTTGGGATAGACGTTCTTCTTAGTTCTTTAGTTGCACTATATGTTCCCTTAATTAGTTTGGCTTCTTGAAATAAACTTTCTCCTTTCCATTTCCTTTTGCTTCTTTCTTTTAGGCCTTAGATTAATTGACAAGTAAATTTGGGTAGTAGGAGACTAAATCATTGTTTCTAAAAGTGAAAATCAAATTCTTTTCCACCTGCATTGTTCATCATAGTAAATCTAGTTCTGTTTTTTAGGTATCATCTTTATCAGAAAGTGAAGAATCTCAGGACTCATCTGATAGCATAGGCTCCTCACAGAAAGCCCACGGGATCCTAGCAAGACGCCCATCTTATAGGTGAGTCCTTTCATATCAAACCCTGCGTGCGCTATAATACCAAATGATTTCAAGTGGGGCTGTGTAAAAACAAACTATATAAAGAGGGAGCATGTGTGTATATAAGAAGGGGATTATTAAAACAGGTTGGAGCCAGATTATAAAGGGCCCAAGTTGCTGTGCTAAAGAAGAATTTAGACCTATCTTTTGACAAAGTATTAGATTTCCACATTTACCTTTAGAGAGTTAACTTTAATAGCAATATGAAAGGAGGACTATAGATTTTAGGAATTTTAAATTCCTAACTCTGGGCCTTTGTTCCTATGTGTCCCTTTGCTGAAACACATTGTTCTACATTCTGCATAACTCCTTCATATACTTGAGTCCCCACTTCCTCCTGGAAGCCTTCTCTGACCTAATTACCTTCTCTCCAACTCTCCCCCTACCCCGAGACTTTAGGTTAAGTTTTTCTTCTGTGGCATCCTTTTACTGACCCTCTGTTACAGTACTTATCCTGTTGGAAATCCAGTTTATTTTTTTATTGATTTCAGAGAGGAGGGGAGAGATAGAAGCATCAATGATGAGAGAGAATCATTGTTTGGCTCCTCTGCAAGCCCCTTCTGGGGATCGAGCCCCCAAACTGAGTATGTGCCCTGACCAGGAATTGAACTATGACCTCCTGGTTCATCAGTCAACTGTCAGTGCTCAACCACTGAGCTACACTGACTGGCCTGGCAAGAAATCCAGTTTATTTAAGGCACGGCCCATGTATTATTTTTTCTGATCCAAGGGCCTAGCAAAGTGACAATACAAGATTAGTATCATTAATTGTTGAGTGAATGGAAAACTGGAAGTAGTACAACCAGCTGACAGAAGGCTGTTGGAATGATATGGGTGATTTCACATGAGAAGTGGGATAGTTTTGGAGTGGATGTATTTGAGACAGTTTGTGGTAGAACTGACAGAACTAATGACTAGATGATGGGTAGGAGGAATAGGAGACAGGGTGAAACGCTGTGTTTGAAACAGAAACATATGCAGTAAGATTCTTGTTAATATTGATTTTTTTAGAGAGAGGGGAAAAGAGAGAGAGAAACATCAGTGATAGAAACATAAACATCAATTGGCTGCCTCCTGATGCCCCCTACTGGGGAGCAAGCCTGAAACCTGGTGACTTCCTGGTACATAGGTCGACACTCAACCACTGAGCCCCCTCTAGGCTGCAGTAAGATGTTTGATGTTATGAGAGAACTACAAGTATGGTGTAGTCATTCCTGCCTGGTGGAATGAGTGGGAAATACTTCATAAAAGATGTCATTTAGATCACCACCAATCTGATAAATTTTGTGAGATATATGGCGGGAAAAGAGCTTTTTAGGCTGAGGGAAGTGTAATCAAAGGTAGGTTGTATGATAAAAAATAGATTGGCCTGTTCTGAAAATTGGAAATTTAATGTGCAGGGAGGAAGCAGAGGTTTATAAAAAAAAAAGGTCAACTGCAATCAGCTTACTTAGAACCTTATCACAAAATGGAAATATATATACGAGGCAAAAACATGTAAGACAGGAATGGTCTGTTAGTTTGCAAATTGGCCCCTGGATACAGAGGGCAAAGAGAGACCAAAGAAAGAGGTAGACCACTCCACATTAGTAGGTGGGAGGTTTAATAAGCAAGGGAACTTACTTAAGGGGCTTTTCTTAAGTGGCTACATAATGAGTAGATCTTCCACCTGCCCACCAGAATCTTGAAAGTTGGTTTTTTTTCAATATGAGGCTTTTATTATACATCTTAGTAAAGTTTCACAAACAAGTGTGACAAATCATTCGGCATCCCGGTGTTTCTATAGCTGGACAACTTAGATCTTATTCATCAGCCTGCTGAACTGTTCCTTTTTCAGAAACATAGATATTATCCAAAAAATTATCTGATATCCTTGTTTTTAACTGTTGTGGCTTGCACAAAGCAGCTGAATTTGGTACAAGTTCAATGTCATTTCCTTCAAGAATCAACTCATCTTTCTGGGCTTGAGATACTGAACAAGCAACACCTAACCTCATCCAAACTCTGCAGATGTATTTTTCGCCCCCAAAATTTCTAATTTCAACAAGAGAACCATTCTCCTGAATAACGACGTTGATGGGGAAGTGAGCGTTGTAACAGAAGCCTAGTGTAACACCCTTGATCATGTTTTGTACATGATGGCAGATAGTGCAAACTGTGGCCAGTTCCTTTCTGTTTTCCCACTATTTGTCAACCCGGAGCCTCTTTTTCTTTCCAAGGAGACTGAGCTCTACATTGGTGTGGTTGAAGTCCCTCTGCAGGGTGCCTCTGGAGCCCTTCACAATAACTGTGCGTCCCTTCAGAGTGATGTCCACAGTCTGATTGCCCAGAATGGTTTTCATCCTTGCAGTAGATGTGGCAAAGAGCTCTTGAAAGTTCATGGAGGAGCCTGAACTGAGTTCAGTCACATATACCCTTACTTACGAGTGATCACCAGCCAAACTGCTCTGAGTTCAGCTTGTGGCTGCTACAGTTTGTTCCTATTTAAAGGCATCAGTATACCAGGTGTCAGCAGGAATCCCCCTCATTCCCTCTCTACAGGCCTCAGGGGGCACCCACAGGTACAGGAATGGGAGCATTTGGAGGATCTATATATTCTACAGAGTAGCACCCACATTTCTAGAGACATAGGGCTGGCAGGCACAGTGCTCCTCTGTTGCAAATAGATGTGCCACTTACTCACAGTGGGGGTTTGAGCCATGGCAGAGGTGAGATGAATGTATTCTCAAAACCCAGCTGTAGATTGGAACGGAAGTTCTTACCATGATATGTCATTCCTTTATGAGAGGCTCTACCTGGAGGAGAGCTGTGTACACTGGTAGGAGCTGTTGATCTATAGGGATGTATTGGGTTTCTGCCCATTTCCAGACCTGGGACCAATATCCTAGGCCAGTAGTCTGCAAACTCATTAGTCAAAAGAGCCAAATATCAACAGTACAACGATTCAAATTTCTTTTGAGAGCCAAATTTTTTAAACTTAAACTATATAGGTAGGTACATTGTTATTAACTTAATTAGGGTACTCCTAAGCTGGCCTTTGCTAAAAACGTCCTCAATATGAGGGGTCGACCTCAGCGAATGTACCCCCACTTCTTCTAATGCCACTTCTTCAAAATAGACTCGCCCAGGCCAGAAACCAGCTTCTGCGCCTGGGCCACGAGGTTTCAATTGCACTGTATGTGCGCGCCGACACATGGTATTTTGTGGAAGAGCCACACTCAAGGGGCCAAAGAGCTGCATGTGGCTCACAAGCCGCAGTTTGCCGACCACTGAGCTAGGGCAATAACATAGTTATTTTTAAAAACCTTAACTCTTTTAATAGAGAACCCTCCATTTTTTAAAAAGTAATCAAAGACCTGCTAAAGGCATTTTGTTAAACTCAGAATCCTTTGTTTACTAGGCAGATTACTTAAAAGGTAAAGAACAACCTTTCACAGTCTTATCAAGAACAGACCAACAAAACCAGCATGGCTGCAGGCAAGTGTGAGTGAGCGTGTGGGCGGGCATCTGCTGGTCAGTGTGGGAACTGCAGGCAGGCAGTTTGGGTGCTCCTGATGGAGGAACTGTGGAGTTGCTCTCTGCTTGAGATTGGAGAGCAAACCTTTGTGGAGGCTTGGCAGAGAAGCAGCCATGTCCTAGCACCCCTACGTCACATACAGGCACCCAAAGCCCCACTGCTGGGACCCAATGCCCCCAGACCCAGGGGAGGGTTGTAGCAAACCAGTATCCTGATTGGTATGGCCCCCGGAGAGGCCTGCCCTGTTCCTAGGCCAACACAGAGCCCAGTTCTCTGGGCCTGCCCCTTCGACCAGCAGAGTGCCTGCCCCACCTCCTCCATCATCAGAGTGCCCGACCCACCCCCTCATCAAGCTGAGAACCAGGCTGCCCTTCCCCCTTGACCTGTGGAGCCTTCTTGGATAGCAGATTGCCTGACTTGCCTGACCCCCTTGATCAGAGGAGTGCCCCTCTTCCTGGACTACCAGACTACTAAAATGGGGAGATAAAGCAACAATCCCCAAATGAAAGAAAGGGAGGAATTGCCAGAAAAGGAACTAAATGAAATGAAGGCAAACAATTTGTCAAGTAAAGAATTCAAAGGAAAGGTTATAAGAGTGCTCAAATAACTTAGAACAACAAGCATAAATGAATAATTACATAGTTGATATAAAGAATACCATGGAAGGAATTAGCAGTAAACTAGAAGAAGCTGAGGTCCGAATAAGCAAATTAGAAGACAAGGTAGAAAAAAAAAACATTCAGAGCAGCAATTGGAAAAATAATTAATGTGAAACCTAACAACATCCCCATCATAGGAGTGCCAGAAGAAGAATCTGAACAAGGAATAGAGAACCTGTTTGAAGAAATAATGACAAAAAAACTTCCTTAACTTGGTGAAGGGAAGTCATAGAAGTCCAGGAAATGAGTCCCAAACAAGATGAACCCAAAAAGACCCACACCAACACACATCATAATTAAAATGGCAAACATTAAAGCCCAACTGGTGTAGCTCATTCATTGGTTAATGGTGGTTAATGGTGGTCAGGGTTCGATTCCAGGTCAAGGCACATGCCCAGGTTGTGGGCTCAATCCACAGTGGGGAATGCCGAGGAGGCAGCCAATCAATGATTCTCATCACTGATGTTTCTATTTTTCTCTCCCTTCCTCTCTCTGAAGTCAGTTTTTTAAAAAATATATATTTTATTGATTTTTTTACAGAGAGGAAGGGAGAGGGATAGAGAGTTAGAAACATAGATGAGAGAGAAACATCAGCTGCCTCCTGCACACCCCCTACTGGGGATGTGCCTGCAACCAAGGTACATGCCCTTGACCGGAATTGAACCTGGGACTCTTCAGTCCGCAGGCTGACGTTCTGTCCACTGAACCAAACCAGTTAGGGCTGAAATCAATTTTTAAAAATAAAAAATAAAATGGCAAACATTAAAGACAGAATCTTAATGGCTGTTAGAGAGAGATAGACAGTTACCTGAAAGGGAATTCCTATTTGATTGTCAGCAGCTTTCTCAATAGAAACACTTCAGGCTAGAAGAGAGTAGCATGAAGTATACAAAGTAATTGAAGAGCAAGGGACTGAATCCAAGACCATCCTGCAGAGCTATCGTTCAAAATAGAAGGTGAAATAAAGAATTTTTTGGGGGGGAAAAAAGGCTGGAGGAGTTTATTACCACCAAACTGCACTGCAAAAAATGCTAAAGGGATTGTTATAAGAAGAAGAAATAGAAAGGAACACAGGCACAAAGAATAAAAACAGCAACAAACAAATATCAATCAATAATAACCTTAAATGTAAATGGCTTAAATGCTTCAATCAAAAGACATGGGTAGCTGAATGCATAAGAAAACATGACCCATATATATGCTGTCTGCAAGAGACCAACCTCAGAACAAGACTCACAGGATAAAAGGGAAGAGGTGGGGAAAAATTTTTTCCATGTAAATAGAAATGAAAAAAAAATAAAAACCCAGGGTAGCAATACTGATACCTGACAAAATAGACTTCAAAATGAAGGGTATAATAAGAGACAAGGAAGGCCACTTATACAAGAGGCTATAACCTTGTTGTACAGATACACACCCAATACAGGAGCACCCAAATATATAAAAAACACTTCTGGAAAACCTTAAGGGAGATATCAACTGCAATTTAATCATAATAAGGGACTTTAACACCGTATCACTGGATAGATCTTCCAGACAAAAAATCAATAAGGAAATAGAAACCCTTAATGACACACTGGATCAGATGGATTTAATTGACATTTATAGAACATTTCACCTCAAAGCTGCAGAATATACATTCTTCTCAAGTGCACATGGGTCATTCTCAAAGATTGACCACATGTTAGAACACAAAACAAATCTACAAGTTCAAGAAGATTGAAATCCTAGCAAGCATGTTGGCATGAAATTAGAAATCATCTACAATAAAAACACTCAAAAAATTCAAAAACATGGAGGCTAAATAGCATGTTATTAAACAATGAATGACTTACCAATGAGATCAATGAAGAAATAAAAAACTTCCTGGACACAAATGAACACACAACAAGCCAAAATCTATGGGGCACAGCAAAAGCAGTCCTGAGAGGGAACTTCAAAGCACCACAGGTCTATGTAAAAAAAACAAAACAAACAAAAACTTCTAAAAACCCATCTAACCATACAATTTAAAGACTCAGAAAGAGAACAACAACAAAAGCCCAGAGTAAGTAGAAGGAAGGAAATAGTAAAGATCAGAGTGGATATAAATGACAGACTTAAAATACAATACAAAAAATCAATGAAACTAAGAACTGGTTTTTTGAAAAGATAAACAAGATTGAGGAACCTTTAGCCAGACTCATCAAGAAACAAAACTCCCAGCAAACAAAAGTTCTGGCCTGAATGACTTCACAGGAGTTTTATCAAATATTCAAATAACTATTCACTATCCTCCTCAAACTATTCCAAAAAATCCAAGGGAAGGAACACTTCCAAACACCTTTGGAGAGGCCAGCATTCTCCTAATTCCAAAACCAGATAAAGACACTACAAAAAAAGAGAATTACAGACCAATATCCCTGATGAACGTAGATGCTAAAATCATCAACAAAATATTAGCAGATCAGATCTAGCAATATATTTAAAAGTTCATACACTATGACCAAGTAGGATTTATTCCAGGGATACAAGGTGGGAGGAGGGCCATGGGGGCAGAGGAGGGGGCAATCTGTGATACTGTTGACAATAAAGATATTTTTTAAAAGATGAGGAAGAATACAAAACAATAACTATCTCTAAATGCTATGTAGTAAAAATAAAGTAATATATGGGAATGATACACAATTTTATGATGTTCTTTGATGGGGAGAAAAAGGAAAGGGATGGGTGACATTGATGTATCTGTAACTTAATTCTTATTAAATAAGATTTCTGAAACAAATACGGCAAAATATTAGCATCTATTGGTTCTTGGTATATGGTACATAGGTGGTTTTATTTATTTTTCTTTGTGCTCAAAATGTTTCGTAACTTAAAATGGAAAAGAAATGGGTACAGTATTCCACAGTCTCATGATAGGCTGGCTGCATGAAACCATGTAGGCAGCTCGTTAAATGGATTCTGGAGCTCTATCCTGTCCACTCAATCATTAGGGATACCAGATGGGAATCTGGATTCAATAAAAACTCCAGATGATTCTGATACATAAACAGGTTTAGGAACTACTGTGACTTCTACAAATGCTCAACACAGGGACTGCCACCTCCTGTGTCCTATATGAAACTTCTGGAAATACAGACTATGATTGTATTAGCTCTTGGTGGGAAGACTGTTCAAAGTAAGGAGACTAAGCTGGAAAATGATTTTCAACATGTTATATAGGAGCAGCTGAAGGAACTAAAATTTTTTGGCCTTGAAAAAACAAGATCTGTAGCAGTTGTCAAATATTGCAAAGGAGGGCATGGATATAGAATTAGGTTTGAAACTTAAATTTCTCTAGCTTCACTGGGTGGAACCAGTTTGGGGTCTAACAAAGGCTCTAACTGTGCAATAATTGAATGGTTTGCTTTTTGGAAATTGTGGATGCCTTATTCCTGGAAATAGAGGCTGTTAGGAATGTAGAGAAGGAATTCCTACATGGACTGGAAGGTTGGCATAGGTAACATGAAAAATCCCTTTTAATGCCAAGGGTGTTTTCCCTTTGTGGTTCTTTTTTTGTTATTGTTTTCACACAAGTACATTTCCATTTTCTGGTTTTTCTATAGTGAACATGGAATTCTTGAGTAAAACCTCCCCTTCTCCTCCCCCCCCGCCCCCCCCCCTGAAATAAACTGCTTATTTCTCCTTCCTCCCCCAATTGTATTTTGGGAAACCTTTCTTTTTAATAAGTAATCTCTTTTCATCATCTTATTTCTGATAAAATGATTCCCATTTTATCAAGTCGGAGGGATACCTCTGGTATCTTATTTACCTCTTCTTGCTAAAATAAACATTTTTAAAAATCACTGATACTCTGCATTTTTATAGTATTTCTAATCTTGTTCTTTCTGAGAACTGTGGGCTTCTCTTCCACTATAGAGTTGAAGGTTGAGAAATTAGATTTGATCTTTTTAAAAGAAGGTCACTGACACTATTTAGAAAATGTTAATTAATGAAGTCCCTCACAGTGGAGCCATCCTGTAGGGGATAGTGACATTTTATACCTCTACAAGGGCCTGGTACATGGAAAGGCACTCTGTATGAGTATTTGTTCAGCATCTCTTTTCACATAGTCATAAACTAAAGTATAACTAGCCTGCAATACGTCAAAAAAAGTATTTGTTAGACAAAAGAATTCCTTGACACATTTTAGGTGTCTGGTAGATTACTGTACTTTTAACCAGAGATTGAAAAAGGTTTATTTAGCAATTTCTTTTTATAAAGTAATCCCACATTACCAACGTTAATAGAGTTCTATTTTTCACAGAAAAATTTTGAAAGATCTATCTTCTGAAGATACACGGGGCAGAAAAGGAGACGGAGAAAATCCTGGAGTTTCTGCTGTCACTCCTATGTCTGTTCCAACTTCCATCTATCAGACTAGCACCGGACAGTACAGTATGTATAGGAAAAATTTCTACCTGATAGACACATAAAACTAACCTTTCCATGTAAAGAAGGTGTGTAGAAAGACTGTCATACTTCAGTAGTGATGACTATTGAGCCAGAAATAATGCAAACTACTTTTCAGCATTAGCTCCTTAAAATTTATGAGGTAGGTAGTTATCAATTTATGAGGTAACTGAAGCTTATAGAGTTAAATAATGTCCCTAAAGTAGTCATACAGCTTATAAATGATACACTTAGTTTGGGGTAAAAGTATGTTTGACAAATGCATGGAATTATCTAACCACCACCACTATTAAGATATAGTCCATCAGCCCTGGCCGGATGTCTCAGTTGGTTGGAATATTGTCCTATACATGAAAAGATTGTGGATTCAGTTCCTAGTCAGGGAACATAATTAGATCCCTGGTTGGAGTGCATACAGGAGGCAACCAATCAATGTTTATCTCTCTCCCTCCCCCTCCCTCTCCCTCCCTCCTTCCCTCCCTCCCTCTCTCTCTCTTTCTCTCCCCCCCTCCCCCTTGCTCTCTAAAATTAATAAAACTTATCCTCAGGTGAAGATTTAAAAAAATACAAGATATAGTCCATCGCCTCAAGAAATTCACTTGGGCCATTCATTTTAGTTTTTATTTTAAATATAGTTTTATTGATTTCAGAGAGGCAGGGAGAGGGAGAGAGAGATAAAAACATTAATGATGAGAGAATCATGGATCAGCTGTCTCCTGCATGCCCCCTGCTGGGGATCTAGCCCACAACCTGGGCATGTGCCCTGACCGGGAATTGAACCATGACTTCCTGGATTATAAATTGACCCTCAACCACTGAGCCACGCCGGGCTGGACCATCCATTTTAAATAGTCTCTCCTTTACTCCTAACCACTGTTCTTCAAGTCTAACTGGTTCTTGCCACAAAATATATATTCCATCTAACCATCTCCAATCACTACCACCACCTTGGTGCACACATGTCTGAATTACTACAGTGGGCATCCAGTTGGTTTTCTTGCTTCCATACTTACTCTAATAGTTTTCCGTACTGCAGTCAAAGTGATCTATTTAAAATGTCAATTAGATCACATCACTCTTGCTCACAGTCTTCCAGTGATGTTCCATCACACTTTAGAACAAATCCTACAAGGCATTGCTTTCAGGATCTGGCCTTTCCTGCCACTCTGATCTCATCTCCTGCCACTTGGTGGCATTCTGGCCACACAGACTTTCTTGCTATTCCTTCAATACAAGAAACTTGTTTCTCGGGATTTTTGTCATTGTCATCCCACTGCCTGGCATGTTCTTCTACAAGATCTTCACCTGGCTTGTATTTTCACTTCTGCTCTGCTTAAGTGTCACCTCCTCAAAGAGACTCCTCTTATTTTATTTATTTATTCATTTTTATTGATTTCAGAGAGGAAGGGAGAGGGGGAGAGAGAGATAGAAATATCAATGATGAGAGAGAATCATTGATTGGCTGCCTTCCTGCACGCCGCACAGGGGAGCGAGCCTACAACCTGGGCATGTGCCCTGACTGGGAATCAAACCGTGACCACTTGGTTCATAGGTTGATGGTCAGCCAATGAGCCACACCAGCTGGACAAAGAGACTCCTCTTTTTTAAAATATGCCACTGCTCCTTTTAGTTTTCTGTATTTTCTAATATTTTTATACCATTCTATATAATAAAAGCCTAATATGCTAAGTGTCTGGTCATCTGGTCAGCTGTTCAACCAATCAAAGTGTAATATGCTAATGATATGCTAAGGCCGCTCAATTGCTCACTATGATGTGCACTGACCACCAGAGGGCAGTCAGTCAACCAGTCGACCAGTCGATATGATGTGCACTGACCACAAGGGGGCAGACACTCCAACCGGTAGGTTAGTTTGCTGCTAGGGTCCGGCCCATCAAGACTGAGCAAGACGGGCCAGACCTGCCCTAGAGCCCTCCTGCATTCCCTCCCTGGCCCCAATCATGCACCAGTGGGGTCCCTCGGCCTGGCCTGCACCCTCTCGCAATCCAGGACCCCTTAGGGGATGTCAGAGAACCAGTTTTGGCCCAATCCTGCAGGCCAGGCTGAGGGACCCCACTGGTGCACGAATTTGTGCACTGAGCCTCTAGTTTATATATAATTATTAAAAAGTACATAGTTCAAAATAAAGAATTACATAGTTCAATTATGTGATTATCTGTTCGCTAATTTATGAGATAATCTATGTTAAGTTCCTTGTGGGAAATAACTTTGTCTTATTCACATTTGTATCCTTAGCATATAGGGCCTGGCACATAGTAGGCGTTGAGTAAAATTTGTTATGAATAAGTGATTTAAAGAATAAAAATAGAATACTTCCTTGAGGAAATGTAAGAAACTGGGAATAATGATTGCGAGGAAGGAAACTTGGGAGCAGACATCAGAAGCAGTTGGGAGGTTCACTTGCATTTTGAACAAAACTGAAATTTTTTTTTTTTTTACCATATACATGCATTACTACTCCCCCCAAAAAAATATTTTTTAATTTTCTTTTTTTTTAAATATATTTTATTGATTTTTTACAGAGACGAAGGGAGAGGGATAGAGAGAAACATCGATGAGAGAGAAACATCGATCAGCTGCCTCCTGCACACTTCCCACTGGGGATGTGCCCGCAACCAAAGTACATGCCCTTGACCGGAATTGAACCCGGGACCCTTGAGTCCACAGGCCAATACTCTATCCACTGAGCCAAACCAGTTAGGGCTTAATTTTATTTTTCAACTACCATTGACATTCAGTATCATTTTATATTAATTTTAGGCATATAGCATAGTGGTTAGATAATTATATAATTTACAAAGTGTTCCCCCTGGTAATTCAAGTATTACACCCACCTGACAGAATACATAGTTATTATAATATTATTGACTATTTTCCCAGTGCTGAACTTTACCATCCCCATGACTATTTTGTAACTACCAGTTTGTACTTCTTTTGTTTTTGAATATATTTTTATTGATTTCAGAGAGGAAGGGAGAGGGAAAGAGAGGTAGAAACATCAATGATGAGAGAGAATCATTAATCGGCTGCCTCCTGCTTGCCCCCCAGTCGGGACTGAGCCCCAACCCGGGCATGTGCCCTGACCAGGAATTGAACCGTGACCTCCTGGTTCATAGGTCGACACTTAACCACTGAGCCACGCCAGCTGAGCCCAATTTTTACTTCTTAATCCCTTTACTTTTCACCCAGTCCCCAAAACGCCTTCCTCTCTGGCCATTATCAATTTGTTCCCTGCATTCCATCCCCCCAAAATTTTAAAGATAACATATTTGCAAGTTAAAAATTATGATAGAGTTGTACCTCCCTCCCCCTTGTCTGCAAGAGATATGTTCCAAGACCCCCAATGGATGCCTAAAACCATGGATAGTGCCAACTCCTGTAACATGGTTTTTCTATACATACAGTAAACTATTATTTCCGGTAGCATGATCCAATAGGACTTTCTTAATGATGGAAGTGCTCTATATCTGCATTGTCCAGTATAGTCACCACTAAGCCGTGTTTGACTATTGAGTAGTTGAAATGTGGCTGGTGAGCCCTGGCCAGTGTAGCTCAGTTTGTTGGGAGAAGTCCCATACACCAAAAGGTTGCCAGTTCTATTCCCAGTCAAGGCACATGCCTGAGTTGTGGACTGGATCCCCAGTAGGGGGCTTGCAGCAGGCAGCTGATTTATGTTTCTCTATCATCAGTGTTTCTCTCCCTCTCCTCTCCTCTCTCAAAAATCAATAAAAACCTATTAAAAAAAAAAAAAAAAAGGAGCCCCAATATGGCAATGGGCAGGACCAGAGTGAGTGGCTGAGTGCAAGGGAGAATGTGTGGGGGACCTGCCTAGCTCACCCCCACACCAGATGAAGGGCACCCAATCTGCTCCCTGCATTAGTGGAGCAGCATCCACCTACCCCACCACCTTGACAAGCTGCTCACATGGACACAGGTCCTGCTGCCAAACCCAACACGCCCAACCCGGTATTCCTGGACAGCTGGCCCCACCACCTTAAAGTGGTGTACCCAGCACTGCCAGCATGACCCAACGCCACCAGACACAGACATGCCACCACAACCCCCTGTGCCTGGACAAAAGGCCCCACTGCCTGACTGCCTGGTAGAAGTGACCTGACACCTTGGGATTACTGGACCTGCCACAGTGACTGAGCACACCTAACCTGGTGTCTCCAGAAAATCAGACCCACTACTGTGACCCCACATGACCAATAACCTCTGGACACACAGACCCATTCCCGTGACTCCAACAGCCTTTCCTGGTGCCCCAGACTACTAGGCTGCTAAAATAGGGAGATAAAAAACACCCCCCCAAATGAAAGAAAAGGAGAAATCACCAGAAAAGAAACTAAATGAAATCGAAGCAAGCAGTTTGTCAGGTAAAGAATTCAAAGTACTGGTCATCGGGTGATCAAACAACTCAGTGAGAACTATAAACAACCTAAATTTAAAATAATAAAAATGTAATATGCAAATCAACCGAACAGCAGAATGACCGTCCAGACAACCTTCCAGATGATCACGCTATGACATGCACTGGTGCCAGGCAAGCCAAGGTGGGTGCGATGCAATTGGTCAGAGAGCCAGCCATCGCCCCATGATCGCCTGCAGAGTGAGGCCAAGGCCACCCCCTGCAGGGCAGTCGATGAGGGGGATCAATCGCCCCACAGAGGGAGGCCCAGGCCACTGGCCAGCGATGCTGTGGCAGGTGTGCACGGCCGGCCAGTGATCGCCCCACAGAGGGAGACCCAGGCCAGCCAAGGAATCACACCTCACACCTGTTGCCCACAGAGGGCGGTGACTGGTCGGGGGGGGGGGGGGGGTAGACAGCACCACACAGATGGCAAGCAGTGGGGGGGGGGCGGGGGGCAGCTACCAGCAGCCAGAGGAAGGAAAGCCCTGATAGGCCCTGATCACCGGCCAGGCCTAGAACCCTACCCGAGGGGTCCTGGATTGCGAGAGAGCTCAGGTCGGGCTCTAGTGAGCATTATAAGGGACTTAATGAGAACTACAACATGAAAAGAGAGATTAAAACAATAAATAAAAATCAATCGGAAATGAAGAATGAGATAGCTAAAGTAACAACACCCTGGAAAGATTCAAAAGTAGACTGTAAGAAGCCGAGGACCAAAGTAGCAAAGTAGAAGATAAGTTTAAAAACATCATCTATTCAGAGCAGCAACTGGGGAAAAAAAGCAGGAGGAGAGTTTAAGGGAGCTTTGGGACAACATGAAACATAACAGCATTTGCATAATAGGGGCACCAGAAGAAGAATCTGAGCAACAAATACAGAACCTGTTTGAAGAAATGATGACAGAAAACTTCCCTGACCTGATGAAAAAATAAGTCGCACAAGTCCAGGAAACACAGAGAGTTCCAGTAAAGATGAACCCCAAAAGACCCACACCAAGACACATCATAATTAAAATGGCAAATGTTAAAGAATCTTCAAGGTTGCAAGAGAGAGACAAAGTTACCTACAGGGGAGTTCCCATTAGACTGTCATCTGATTTCTCAATAGAAACACTTCAAGTAAGAAGAGAATGGCATGAAGTATACAAAGTAATGAAAAATAAGAGACTGAATCTAAGACTACTCTATCCAGCAAGGCTATCATTCAAATTTAATATGAAATTAGTAGCTTTGCAGACAGAAAAAGGCTAATGGAGTTTGTTACCACCAAACCAGCACTGCAAAAATGCTACAGGGATTTTAGTAAGAAGAAATAGAAAGAGAGGGAGGAACACAGGCATCAAGAACAAAAATGGCAACAAATAAGTACCTATCAATAATACCTTAAAGGTAAATGCCTTAAATGCTCCAATCAAAAACCATAGGGTAGCTGAATGGATGAGGAAAACACGACCCATGTATATGCTGTCTACAAGCGATCAACTTCAGAACAAGATTCACAAGATGAAAGTAAAGGGATGGAAAAAAAGTTTCCATGCAAATGGAATTAAAAAAAACAAACCTGGGGTAGCAATACTCATATCCTACAAAATAGATTTCAAAATAGGTCCAGAGCCATGACAGCATGCAACAGACTGAGGATTCTCAGAGGAAAGGCAGGGGGTAGGAAAGAGATCAACCAAAGAACTTACACGCATAACCCATGGACACAGACAACAGTGGGGTGAAGTCCTCTTGGGAAGGATGGGGTCACCAGGTAACTACACGTGTTCAACAAGAATACGAAGATCTGTTGCAAAAATAAAAACAATTCTTTTTTTAAATTACTTTATTGATTAAGGTATTACATATGTGTCCTTATCGCTCCATTACCCTCCCATCCCCACCACTCATGCCCTCACCCCCCTGTTGTCTGTGTCCGTTGGTTAGGCTTTTATGCATGCATACAAGTCCTTTGGTTGATCGCCCCCCCCCTTACCCCCTCCCTCCCTTACCTTCCCTCTGAGGTTTGACGGTCTGATCGATGCTTCTCTGTCTCTGGATCTGTTTTTGTTCATCAGTTTATGTTATTCATTATATTCTATAAATGAGTGAGATCATGTGATATTTATCTTTCTCCAACTGGCTTATTTCACTTAACATAATGCTCTTAAGTTCCATCCATGTTGTTGCAAATGGTAAGAATTTCTTCTTTTTTTACCGCAGCGTAGTATTCCATTGTGTAGATGTACCACAGTTTTCTAATCCATTCATCTGCTGATGGGCACTTAGGCTGTTTCCACATCTTAGCTATGGTGAATTGTGCTGCTATGAACATAGGGGTGCATATTTATTTTCACATATATTTCACATCAAATGATGTATATATCTATACATTTGTTAGTATAATTTCACATTTTCATACAAATACAGTTGACCCTTAAACAACAGGGATTTTGGGGTGCTGATCCTCATGCAGTCAAACATCTTCATACAACTTTTGACTCCCCCAAAAACTTAATTACTAATAAATAGCCTACTGTTGACCAGAAGCTTTACTAGCAACATAAATTGTCAGTTAACCCATAATTTGTATGTTTGCATAATGTATATTGTATTCTTACAATAAAGTAAGCTACAAAAAAAAAAAGCATAAGGAAAATATATTTGTAGTACTGTATGTTTTTAGTGAAAACCCGCATATAAGTGGATCCACACTCTAAAACTGTGTTTTTCAAGGGTCAATTGTATATCAGTCCATGTGAGCATAAAAAAAGATTAGGAAGGATGTGCATCAAAAATAATGGTGGTAGTGGGAGTAAGGGTTGGCCAGTGGAATAAATAGAGATAGATAATGGGATGTTTACTTTTTATTTTATTTATATATTTATATTAATATATGTGGGGGAGTATATAATATGTGTTGCAGGGAAGGAGATTGAAAGTAATTGCTAATAAAATTTTAAACAATTCCCTGCATATAAACAATTTTAATGTCTTCTAAAGTTATATATTAAAGTATGTGGGAATATTTGTTGTGTGGTAGTGGCGGGGGGGGGGGGGGATAATTAGAAACTCCTGCAAAAAGTATTTTTATTTAAAATTCACACACTGACATATGTATTTTGGCCTAATGGTAGGCAAAGCGTAAAAGGGGAAAATGTTACATAATTATAATCTGAAAAGTGGGTATAGAGCTGAGGCATTAGATTCTGAAGGGGATTTATTATATGGGAACTGCAAAATGCTGAGTTGTTTTCTATTTGTTCATGCATCATGGGCATTTCATTTAAGGTTTTAGGGGAAAGCATTAACATCCTATATAATCCTATATAATAAAAGGGTAATATCCAAATTGTCCCCTTGACTGGGAGTTTGACCGGAGTTCGATCAGGGGGCATGGCCGGCCCGCCAACTGCCTGGACCCCCTCGTCCCCGCGGATCCCACCCCCAACCTGCCCCCCACACCCCGATCAGGGGCGGGGCCCGTCAGCCAACCTCCTGCATCCCCTCCCCCTGGCCTGATTGGACCGATTGGGCCGGGCTGGTCAGACCCCACCTGTGCACAAATTTGTGCACTGGGCTTCTGGTTAAGTATAATTCAGTGAGAAATGCTTGTGGGGAGCTTAGAAGTGTGATCTTATGGTAGCTTTCTGATGACTTAAATTTATTGGTGATTTTTGCTAGGAAGTGACTAAATTATATTTTTTAAATATCACTTAACATTTAATGTCTAACAGCAGTTACCACTAGAGAGTGGAGCTAAGAAACAGAGTTTGAAGATTTACTTTTTCATTATGTAATCTTTTATCCTATTTGATGTTTTCTATGTGCACACTTACCTATTAAAAATATTTTGTTACAATCTCTTTTATGATTCTTTTGGAAAAAATTACAAGCTGTGTTAATGTTTCCTTCTAATTATTTTTCCTTCAAAAGTGAGCCATCAGTGCCCTCTCAGTATTCTAAACTGCTGTGACATTAGCAGTTAGCATGGAGTGGTCCATAGAGCCCAAAATGTGCCTTGACCATTTCTATTGTAGAAATTGAGATTAAGACTAGTGCATCTAAACTATAAAATTTTATAAAGAAATGCCATTTTATTTCCTGTACATATAGTTCACCCAAAGTGGTCAACAGTTGTCTGGTAGAACTGCTTTCAAGCCTGTTTTACTTTTTTGTTTTTCATGAATTCTTTGTAATTCGTGTATTGTGTAGCCTTACAATAGCTATGTTCTCTCTTTGGTTAAAGTTGCTATTGCCCCTAATGGAGCCTTACAGCTGGCCAGTCCAGGCACAGATGGAGTACAGGGACTTCAGACACTAACCATGACAAATTCAGGCAGTACTCAACAAGGTACAACAATTCTCCAGTATGCACAGACCTCTGATGGACAGCAAATACTTGTGCCCAGCAACCAGGTGGTTGTACAAAGTAAGTATGTTTAAGTACCTATGGAATGTATCCCAAAGTTCTTTTAAAGACACTTATGAATTAACTCATTCTTTTGACCACCCAGCTGCGTCAGGAGATATGCAGACATATCAGATTCGTACCACACCTTCAGCAACTTCGCTGCCACAGACTGTGGTGATGACATCTCCCGTGAGTCTTACATCTCCGACAACTAAGACAGATGACCCCCAGTTGAAAAGAGAAATAAGGTTGATGAAAAACAGGTGGGTAGTGAAATTATACTGTCAAAATGGTAATGTTTTTGCAAATCTCAAAATATAACCAGGTGTTAACTGGAATTGTTTATAGGAAATAAGGAGAGAGGTTTATATCAGCTTTATTTTACTGAGTGTTTGATTATGTCTAGTTTATTTCCAATGGATCAGTGAGTCCCATTGCTCAATCTCTTTATTTAATATATTGACCTAGAGTTCTTTTATTGTTATTATACCCTTTGGCTAGCACTGTTAAGCAAAGCTTTTCAAAAAGTCTATTTTGTTCTTGTTGGGCTGACATGGTTAAATAAAAAGAGTAATCTGCTGCTTGCCACAGCAAGAAGAATTAGTGGGATTCTGCCCAATACCTAGTTTAATTACTGACACAGAAATGCTCCTAAAAATGAATTTTGACATGAAAATAGATTAGTAATTTAACCCCCAGAAACATTTACTTTTATTTTAAATGTATTTTAAACATTGCTATATGCACTAAAACTATAAAAATAAACCAAAGATTGACGTTAGCAATTGCTTCTGGGCAAGAGGCAGGGGTATGGATGTGATCAGGGATAGCACAGAGGGCCCTTCAACAGGGTAGATAACATTTTTGCACAGTAAGCTGGGTGTTGGGTTTACATTCGTTCATTTATTATGCTTCATAACTTATATCTACATCACATCTGTGTGTACTACTTCATAAAAATGTTTTAAACTACAGTAATTTAGAAGGCAACTTAGTAAGGTGTTTTATTTCCTATGACTTGCCATCTTGAAAATAATAATGGAAGTAATATTACATTCAAATTAGTGACAAAAGTCATAAAATACTTAATAAATTTAACAGGAAAGGCATAGAATCCACATTTTTTAAATCTTATTGAGAGGTAAAACAGTATCTGAACAAACAGAAAATACTATGTTCTTTGATTAAGCCATAATAAGTATATTTTTTCAGAATTCACGTATAAATGGAATGTGTTTAAATTAGAATTTTTGTAAATCTTTATAGAATTGGACAAAATAAGCTAAATGTTTACAAGGAAGAAATAAGTATTCAGGAATGGTCAAGAACAGAAAGAGGTTACTTTGTCTTGTTAGGCATTAAAGCATACTCTAAAAAGCCATTGTAATCATAACTTGGTATCAGTGAAGAGGGCAGACAATAACATTAGCAGATGGCAAAGAGAGGCCAGAAATCGCCTGTGCTAGTTAAGTACACTTGTGAAGGATGGCTTATTTAATAAAAGATATTCAATCAACTCTACATTTGAAAGAAAATTAAATTGGATTCCTATTTTTTATACCATGAACAAAAATAATTCTAGATGAATTAAAGACTTATGAAAATTAAGCAATAAAATTTCTAAGATGAAATTTAGAAATATGTAGTGCATGCATTTTAATTTAAGCCAAGGAAAAGAGAGACTAAAGAGCATTTATGGCAGGAGATATAAAAATATGAGATGCCAAATGGTAGATTACAAAATAATGTAAGAACATTTAAAGGATTAATATGTAGAATGAACAGGAAGTTCCTAGGTTGTTTGTCTTTCTAATAACTTCTCACTGTAACGTGACCGAAGGTATGAAGGGACAAAGGTATATATAAATAGGCAATTTGCATAAGAGCAGATCCAGAAGACCAATAAAAGTTTTGAAAAATGCTCGAGCTCATTAGTAATGAGGAAAATGGAAATTAACAAAAACAACATGGCAAAAATCTATGTACCAACATAGAAACATCATTAAAACAGTTTAGGCATAAAATGAATTGGCAGAACCCTAGCTGGTTTGGCTCAATGGATACAGCGTCGGCTTGTGGACTGAAGGGTCCTGGGTTCAATTCCTGTCAAGGGTATATGCCTGGGTTGCGGTCTCAGTCCCTGGTGTAGGGCATGCAGGAGGCAGCCAATCAATGATTCTCTCTCATCATTGATGTTTCTATCCCCCTTCCTCTCTCTGAAATCAACAAAAATACATTTTTAAAAAATCAAGTGGCAGATAATATCTACAGTACATAGTATACTCAAGTAATACTTTTTACTTCTATCCATATATATAAAACTTATATGTGACTTGATAGAAATATTCTAAGAGGACATGTACAAAACTGAGTATCAATCATTGTATTTATTACAGTAAAATGTATTGAAAAATTATTTTTATTCAACAAATGAAAATTAATTTGAAAAATAAAATATGAAAATTAATTTAAAGAATCTGTGGGTCAAAAATTAAGCAGAGGACCCCCAAATTTCACTCCTTGGTATTAATCCAAGAGAAATAGGACATATTTACAAAGAGACTGGCACAAGAACATGCACAGCAACTATAACTAGAAGCAGGCCAACACAATGGATCAACAAATTGTAGTGATATTCATACAATGAAATATGCCCTAAAATATGAAGGAACAAACCAGCATACAGCAACATGAATGAGCCTTAAAAAGAAACTGAATAAGCCCTAGCCACTGCTGCTCAGTGGTTGGATTGTCCACCCCAGTATCTGGGTTGTGGGTTTGATCCCCAGCCTTCTTTGGCCCTGGTTGGGGCAACTGATGGATGTCTCTCTTACGTCAATGTTTCTCTCTCTCCACCCTCCCTCCCCTCCTCACTCTACAAATCAATGGCAAAAATATCCTCAGGTGAGGATTAACAGCTCAGTGGTTAGAGCTTCGACCCGTGCACCAGAGGTCACAGGTTTGATTCCTGTAAATACTTGGATTCATTCCCCACTCCCAGTTGAGGTGCATGCAGGAGGCAACCAGTCAATGTGTCTCTCACATCCATGTTTCTCTCTCCCCCTGCCCTCCCTTCCACTCTCTGAAAAGCAACGGAAAAAAATATCCTCAGGTGAGGATTAAGAGAAAAAAGAAACATACTGAGTTAAAGGAGACCACGCACAGGTGTATACCTATTGTGTAACTGTTATATGAAGTTTTAGATCAGGAACATCTTCATTGATGCTGATAAAATGAGAGCAGCAGCTGCTAGAGGAGAGAACTGACCAGAAACGGGCATGAGAGAACTTTCTGGAACAATAAAAATGTTCTGGCCTTGGTAGGTGTGTGGGCTATAAAGGTGTATGTATGTGCATTTGCCAAAACGAGCTGAATTCTACGCTTGAGATCTACCTTTCATTGTATATAGGTGAGAACTTAACTTTTTAAATGAGGAAAAGATGAGCAGAGAAATTGCTACAGGGCATTTACCGCTTTAGAGAAGGTGAGTGTTTTCTGACGTGGTTTTTATGCTTATTTTAGAGAAGCTGCTCGCGAATGTCGCAGGAAGAAGAAAGAATACGTGAAATGCCTGGAAAACCGAGTTGCAGTCCTGGAAAATCAAAATAAAACTCTAATAGAGGAGTTAAAGACTTTGAAGGATCTTTATTCCCATAAAAGTGTTTGATATTTAAGAAAATATTTTGTGGACTTGCCTAAAAATTAAATGGATTTTTTTCTTTTTAGTGGAGTTTTATAAATTAAAAGGTCAAAAATGAAGCTTTTATTTAGGCTTTTGCAACTCAAAGATAAATGTCGTATGCAAGTTATGCAAGAGAACTGGTGACAGAGGATAAAGTGGCAAATGACCTCAAGGAAGATACTGGCACAACTGGAAACTGGAAAAAGCATACTAAAGAAGCAGGAAGCGAACATTCACCAATCTGAATTTTCTAAATAACAGTAGTTGTCAATAATCCAAAAATGGCAGATAAGATGAAATTTGGTAAATTTTCAAAATTAAATCTATTTACCCTATAGGTCTGCATTTCATATACTGTTTCCTAAAATTTACTTTTTTCAATTGTGTGTGTGTGTGTGTGTGTGTGTATTTTATTTCTGCCAATAAATTCTAAATTACCAAAAGAAAAACTAATACATAACCAGATATAAATAATTATGTGTTCTGATTACATACACTTGTTCTATTGTCAAGTCTTTTAAATGGGTTTTAAGTTTGTTTATTGGACTTGACAGCATCTTGAAGAGTGAATTAAAATATTTTTGAGGCCTTGTCCTAACAGGCATCTAAGGTACATGAATGGGGTGTAGTGTTTTTGTACATTTATTATCAGAATGGAAAGAAAACTGTTTAAAAGTTTCACACTCTTAAATAGTTGGTTTTTGGGGGTAATTCTGGGAATGGTGATTTTCTACAAATATATAGCAGATTGTTTTTTTGATTCTATATTCTGTAAGCAGTTGAATATACATCACTTATTCTGTTGTGCTTTAATAGAATGGAATGTTTACAGGCCCTTGAGGTGATATTAGAGTATTTTTTAAGAAAAACTTCTGAAGATGCATACCAAAGTTTTCCAAGAGGATTTTATAATTGATTTAATGCAAGGTTTATCAGATTCTAAAATAGTACAGTTATTAAAGCAATTTTATGCTAGAGACTATTTTGTAATGTAGTGAATGGTACATTTATAAAAGTGACTGTCAATATATTTTTATAGCTAATCTTTATAAATTCTAAAGTTGAGTTTTTAATGATTATTTTAAATGTTTATATAGTTTGTTTAGTAAAAAAAATATTTTGCCTCTCAAAGTATCATTTTTATATTATGGGGAGTTTCAGATTGGCTAATCTCTGGATTCTAAGTTTTATATACAGTTTTTCCAGAGTTCACAAATGCTGTCAGTGTTTAACTTCTGTATTCCAATTTCTATACACTTTGAAATTGTACTGCAAAACTATTGTGTGCTTCTTATACAATATGTATCATATTGTTGTCTATGAAATTAAAGGACATTTGATAAAATTAAGTTTGCTGAATGTAGAATACATTGTTTGATATATAAATTACAAGCTCCTGATAGCCATTCTGTCAATTATACTAAGTATAATGCATTTCTAGTTTTAAAATGAGGATCAATTTACAATTCTGGTCTCCATAGCCTATTTTAAGAGGGAATATGTATGTTTTGATTTATTTAGAATCAGTTACAATAAACTAATGAAGTTTTTTGTTCTACAAGTGTTTAGGACATGGTTAAGAAGCCTGTTACACAGAAATATTAACACAGTTGATAAGTTTGTATTTAACCCTAATGAAGTATTTTATTAATAAGATCTTTTAAAATTGGACTCCATTTAGTTGGCAGCAGCTTATGAGAAGAAAAAAAGTTTGATTACCAGTGGGATTACTTTTATCACTACCTTGTAAAGCCAGAGTCTTAAACTAGTGGCCCATTAGCTTGAAGAATAGGAGGAGGTAGGGTCACTGGGTTATATCTTGAGTTATGATGTGACAGTCAATTTGCATATTCCTTTTTTTTTTAATTAGATGAGATTGCTAGTTAAACCTGTTCTTTCTCTAGTTAAAAGAGTTTTTTAAAAGATTATATATTGGATAGATGTCATGCTTGGCTGTAATTAAGATAATGTAGTCCATGGTGCCTTAACAGTTGGACATTCATAAATATTTGTAAACTCTCTGCTATCTACAGACTTCTGGTGTAGGGCCTTGCTCACTAGATCAAGTTACCTTAGTCTTGCTGTATGTAACAGACATGGGAAAGACACTGAGGATTCTGTTAAGTGCATACCATGTTATTTTAGATGTTTTTTTAATTTTTAAAAAATATTTTTTATTGATTTCAGGGAGGAAGGGAGAGAGAGAAACATCAATGATGAGAGAGAATCATTGATAGGCTGCCTCCTGCACACCCCCTACTGCAGATCGAGCCCACAACCTGAGCATGTGCCCTTGACTGGAATTGAATCTGGGACCCCTCAGTCTGCAGGCCAGTGCTCTATCAACTGAGCCAAACCAGCTAGGGCTGTTTTTCTAATTTGAATCCAATTCCAAGCTAATGGAATTTTAAAGGTGATTATAATCCGAACCTGAATTAGAATTCAAAAATTCAATAGACTAGTGCAATTACTTTCTTAGCTCAGAACACTGTTTTATATAAATGTATTATCAATTTATTTATTTATATGTTATATTGATGGAAATACCTTGCCCATGAATACGTCTTGAGCATACAAATTTATTGACCAGAGCATGAAGAATGGGCATGTGCTAGAGCTTCAGAAATCTTACTACATTTATCTTATTTACCCAGAAATTATATCAAAATTAGTGACCCGGTGCATGAAATTTGTGCACATTTAAAGGGAATTAATTAGAGGAAATATTTTAATATTGCTGTTTGCCCTTACTCTATAATAGAAGTGTCAGAGATGAAAGAAAATTAGTAAAATGTATATGAAAATCTTCCTCTTGTCAGAGTCTGGGGTGCACCACGGGAACCAGAGTCAAGAGTCCGCCCACCCACGTGCGCCTTGAAGTCACACAAGACCCAGACCTGGCCAGCCCCACCCCCATTGAGCTAGATCCAGACCTGGCCAGCCCCACTCCCGTCAAGCCCCGCCGAGTAGGGGGCGCGGCCTAAGGTCGCCTGGCCTGGTGCCAGGGTGGGGGTGTGGCCTGAGGTCCCCGCAGCCTGGTCCAGGGCAGGGACATGCCTTGAGGTCCCCGTCAAGCCCCGCAGGCAGGGGTGCATGGCCTCAGGTCCCACGGTCCGGCGCTGGGGAGTGGGGCACGGCCTTAGGTCCCCTTGCCCAGCACTGGGGTGGGGGAGTGCAGCCTGAGGTCCCCCATCAAGCCCTGCTGGGCAGGGAGCATGGCCTGAGGTCCCCTCGCCCAGCGCTGGGGTGGGGGGTGCAGCCTGAGGTCCCCCATCAAGCCATGCTGGGCAGGGAGCATGGCCTGAGGTCCCCTCGCCCAGCGCTGGGGTGGGGGGGGTGCAGCCTGAGGTCCCCCATCAAGCCCTGCCGGGCAGGGGGCACAGCCTGAGGTCCCCTGCCCTGGCCCAGTGCTGGGGTGAGGGTGCATGGCCTCAGGTCCCTGCCCCGGCCCAGCGCCACGCAGCCTCAGGTCCCTGCTGATTGCTCATTAAGGCTTGCTATGGGGACTCAGCCTCCACTGTGGGCGCAGTCATCTTGTGTTAAACTGTGACAGTCAATTTGCATATTCCTGCCTTATTAGATGAGATTGCTGGTTAAACCTGTTCTTTCTCCAGTTAAAATATGTGGACATAGGATATAAAAATACGTATTCTGGTTTGGAATAAGTTGTCATAATGGCAATTCACATTCCCAGAGAAGATGCTGTAAATCGAGTGAAATTTGACTTAAGGACTTGATAGCTATTTCAAAGAAAAGTTGGAGGTATCATGCTACCTGATATCAAACCATACTACAAGGCTATCTCAATCAAACAGCATGGTACTGGCATAAAAAGACATACAGAAAAATGGAACATAATCAAGATGCCAGAAATAAACCCACACCTATGTGGCCAATTAATATATGACAAAGGAGGTAAGAATATACAATGGGGTAAAGACATCTATTCAATAAATAGTGGTGGGAAAACGGCAGATATATGCAAAACATGAAACTAGACCACCTTCTTATGCCCTATACAAGAACAAACACAAAATGGATTAAACACTTAAATGTAAGACTAAAAACCATAAAACTCCTAGAAGAAAACAGGCAGCAAAATCTCTTGACACCTCTTAGCAATATTTGATATATCTCAGGCAAGAAAGGCAAAAGAAAAAAAAAATGGGATTACATCAAACTAAAAAGTTTTTGCACAGCAAAGGAAATCAACAAAATGAAAAGGCAATCTGAATAGAGGAAGATATTTGCTACTAATACATCCAATAAGGAGTTAATATCCAAAATCAATAAAGAACTCATACAACACAATACCAAAAACCCCACACACAATCCAATTAAAAAGGGCAGAGGACCTGAATAGACATTTTTCCAAAGAGGACATACAGATGGCCAATAGCCATATGAAAAGATGCTCAATGTCATTTATCAGAAAAATGCAAATTAAAATCACAATGAGGTATCACCTCACACCTGTCAAAATGGCTATTATCAATAAACCCAACAAACAACAAGTGTTGGTGAGGATGAGGAGAAAGGGAACCCTAGTGTACTGTTGGTGAGAATGCAGAATGGTGCAGCCACTATGGAAAACAGTACGGAGTGTCCTTAAAAATTAAAAAATGGAACTGTCTTATGACCCGGAGATTCCACTTCTGGTTATATATCCAAAGGAAACAAAAACACTAATTCAAAAGAATCTATGCACCCCTATGTTCATTGCAGCATTATTTACAATAGCTAAGCTATGGAAGCAGCCCAAGTGCCCATCAACACGGAGTGGATAAAAAAGCTTTGGTACATATATGTTACAGAAGACCAGAGAAAAACCCAGCAACGCTTAGAGAAAGGAAGTTACATTTTATTATTAAATTCTGCGCAGGCCCAGAGAAAAATGTGTCTTTCAAATTCAGGGGCCCCCAACATGGAGGAAACTTTATTTATACTTTTCCAGTCCTTTGTCTCCCAAATTTGGAATGAGACTTCCCGGCCTTCTGAGAAAGAAGTCCTGCGTGCTGGGAAGGGGCCATGAGACTATATCTCAAGGCCTGGCCTGGTGTCAGCACTGACAACTCTGTCTGGGGCATAGTTTATGGCCTCTCTGGAATGGGGGGTAGTCTTATTTTCCTTTTTAAGCAAGCAATCGTTTACAGAAGCCAAAAGAGCAGGGTTAAAATTTCAAACAGCAGTTTTTATGTAAGTTGGATGCTTCATATATACAATGGACTATTACTTGGCCATAAAAAATAATGAAATCTTACCATATGCGACAGCATGGATGGACCTAAGGCAGGGGTGGGCAAACTTTTTGACTCGAGGGCCACAATGGGGTCCTTAAACTGGACCGGAGGGCCGGAACAAAAGCATGGATGGAGTGTTTGTGTGAACTAATATAAATTCAAAGTAAACATCATTACATAAAAGGGTACGGTCTTTTTTTTTCAATAGTTTTATTCATTTCAAACGGGCCGGATCCGGCCGGCGGGCCGTAGTTTGCCCACGGCTGACCTAAGGAGTATTATGCTCAATGAAATAAGTCCGAGAAAGACAAATGCCATATGATTTCACTTATATGTGTAATCTAAAGAACAAGTAAATGAACAAACATAATTGATGCAAGCTCATAGATACAGAGAACAGACTGATGATTGCCAGAGGGGAGGTGGAGGGTGGGGTGGAAAAGGTGAAGATTAAAAAGTACAAATCGGTAGTAACAAAATAGTCACAGGGATGCATAGGGAATAGAGTCAGTAATGTAATAACTATGTACGGTGCCCGGTGGGTACTGGAAATACCAGGAGGGAAGTATTATAACATATATGACTGTCTAACCACTGTTATACCCCTGAAACTAATACAAAATAATATTGAATATAAACTGCAATTGAAAAAAACAACAACAAAAACTAGGGATTTGGGATTTTAACTTGGTCTCTAGCAATTCAACTTAAATAGTGGTCTCTCCCCCACGCCCACCCCCAAAACACACCTTTATAAAACTCTAGGGGGTAACTGTCTCTTTTGAGCTCTTCGATATCCCACATTCTAGAGCAGTGCCTCCCTGGTTCTCGGGAGTGCTCCATGTCTATTAAATGAATGAGAGCCTGGGATTCAAATTCACTAAGACACAGAGGTTTGATACTTCGCCAAGGGCACACAGGAAATAAGGCTAGGGTTCAGACCTAGGTCTAGTCATCTCCGAAGGTTGTGGTATTGAAGACCAGAATGTACCTTCTTTCTTTTTTTTTCTTTCGAATTTTTTTATTCCTCCCCTGAGGATATGTTTTTATTGATTTCAAAGAGGAAGGAAGAGAGAGAGAGAGAGAGAGTAACATCAGTGTCAGAGAGA